TACCGGACACAATTTCAGACACCGTCCTATTACAGGTATTAACCCAGTAATACTTTGACTGATCCGGGAATCGAACCTGAAACCCCTTGGCCAGCAATGACATTTGCGACCACTGGGTCGTCGAGGCGGTTAGGCAGTCAAATAGATATCAAATGAAATATAATTTATGAATATAATTAAATACATTTGCCTACTGCATGGTACCTGAGACTCCTTGTTCGACGGTCACATTTACAGTCATTTGACTATATATTCAAAATCAATACTCATTTCCTAAAAGACAAACCAAATTTATATTAGCATGTAAATTCCATCCCCTCAGTATGTGCCGTAAGTGATAGAAATTGAATGTCTCTCATTGTTCTGTATACAGATGGCCGCCATCGTGCGTCTGTGTCCCGTATTGTCAGCTTAGAGCTTGAAAATGCTCTGACAAATTAGAATTGGAAGGGTGACGTGATGTTTTGTATATTACTTTTTCCAGAAGGGGTAGAGGTAAATTTTTGACGATATATTTTTATGCTGTCCCCTAAAGCATAATATAGCATAATACACATGCGAATCAATGGTAGATCAGATCAGAATATTTAAAAGTCAAAAATGGATACCCGAAACACAAAAGGTATCATAAGTACGTTGCCAGATGTATATAGAGGTATAGTTTAATTGTAATAAAAATTTTATAAACTTTGTTCAAAAACATCGACTTAAACCACTTCTTTTTTTGATCTCGGTTAGTAAATATATTAAAGCTTTCTTCCAAGTGTAACAAATACTTTTATGAAATCGCATCAAAATTGGTTGTGCCATAACATAACATAACATCACGCCTTTTATCCCCGAAGGGGTAGGCAGAAGAGCACACAGAAGTAACACCTACTTTTCACTATTTATGTTATGAGTCCCATCTAATGGGCCTATTGCCGTATACCGGACACAATTCCAGACTCCGTGCTACATCTGAGATTTTTTTTTAAAAAACCCATTAATACCTTACCCGACCCGGGAATAGAACCCGAGACCTCTTGCCCGGCAGTCGCACTTGCGACCATTTGACCATCGAGGCAGTTGGTTGAGCCAATCGCAAGATAATCACCCACAAACACAAATATATGACTTAAACTGAGAACCTCCTTCTTGTTTTTAAAGTCGGTTAAAAATTTTATGTTTCTGCACTTCTTGTATATATTTCTTAATTACTGATATGATTTTATTTCTATGCTACTCTTCCCCTAAATCTAATAAACTCTCTACAAAATGTGTAGTCGATTTTTACGATACCGACGGAAAAGCCATGGGTGCCGATAAATATGTGGCGAGACATTTTTTTTAAACATTGCCCCACACTAAGATTTTTTCCTGTGTCGTGTGTGTGTTTACAAACATACAAGTTCACATACACATGACACCCAGACCTGGAACAACAATATGTGGATCAGACAAAGAGCTGTTCTGTGTGGGAATCTTACCCGCGACACGTTGGGCGGCAGCTAGTTGCCCACCCACCGAGCCAACCGTGCAGTCACATGACACATGGTAAATAACAGCTCACATACTATCAATGAAAAGCAAATCAACGGATGACGTCACAAAATCCTACATCGCACATGCGAAGTTAACGTGCGAATTAACGAGGATAGAAAATCTCAACAAACCACTGTTGGGCAGAACGCCCAGGCACAAACACTGGTCGCCTGGTCGGAGGATCCTCCTTTACCGATCTTCGGGAACTTTATTTTCTGTTCCCTAGAAATGTATTCTAATCTGCTATCTCACACGGCTAGCTACAAAACCACTACGGTCAAGGGTTAATGAGAGCGTTTAGTACACAGATTGTTATCTACTATCTAGTGTTTACTGCGCAATGTATTTAAACTGAAATCTTCGGGTGCATTTAGGGATTTAATCCGAGTTAAATCCCTGGTATCTTCATGATAAAAGCTGGGAATTTCTTTTTTTTCTGGTATAAGCCGGGAAACGAGCAGACGTATCACATGTTGGTAAGCAATTGGCATCGCCTATGGACACCCGGAACACCAGAGGCGTTACAAGTGATTTACCGGCCTTTTGCGGATTAGAAATTTGAGGATTGTTTAAGATTCAGATTCACACGACGAAACACAATGCAAGCGTTGTTTTACGTCGGTTTTCTGTAAGGCCGTGGTATCAATCCGGTCGAGGCGGCCCATTCGTGCCGAAGCATGGCTCTCCCATACTTTACTTTCTTGACGATTATCTCAGTCTTGCCTTAAGGTTTTCTTGACTTAGTTTCTATTCGAGAAAAAAATAGTGTACCTAATGAAAATACTCAATGAAAGCGACGTGTAAGGAATATATACTCTTGCATTTTTATTATTAAAATGAATTGATTTTAGGAGTTGTAAGGAGTAGTTGAGAGAGATTTATTAGTATGACCTAGCTGCTTTTTTATTATTATGGAGATAGCACTAATAATTTACAAGGCTTTTATACCTAGTACCTAAAATTCAATTCAGACGATAATTTCATAAAAAGGTTTCACTTTATGTTAGGTACGAATCCTAAAAAATGTAATTTTTACTGACTTTAATCATTTCTCGTTTTTTACGATAGCACTAAAAACTGATGCTTAACATAAAACCAAAGTAAAATATGCAAATTACATAATTATCATTGAACTGTAACATTTACAATTAAAACTCCTAAGTTTGGTAAGCAAAAGTCTGGTGTGCATGTAAAAAACGACCTTGAATCTTTGTAATAAAGTTGAGTTTTATGGTCAGGTTGTTGGGGTGTGTTGTTGGAATTATTTAGATTTATTCAGCTTTGTTGTGAAACATGATCTTGTTAATATCGCTTCAAGAGAAATGAGCTGTAGCTCTGTTCAAATATTCAACGCGAATTGTAGACATTTTTAAAGAATGAACGAAGTAACATTAACAAAGAATTCGAGAATAAGGCTCATTCTTATTCTGTTAAAGAGTGTCTGGTCACTGATCAGAAATTGTGATTTATTTTTTAAATTTAAAATAATCATGCTAGTATTTTTAAGTTTGGCTACATGAATGTCATTATTTGGTTAAATTATAACAATATTCTAAATAGAATTATAACGAAATTGCTTAAAATACTCTTGTATTTTTTAAGTAAATTAACACTCTGAGCATAATTGTTACAACTAATAGAACTAGAGTAATTTAATGACAAATTATTGTATTAGTATTGTAACTTTCGTGAGACATACTAAATAATTTATTATGTTTGCGAAATGCTGCTCATGAATATGAGCCTCTAGCATGGCTTGAAACTAGCCGAGTTTCTCGTCAAATAATTACGTGAGTAAGCCGAAAACATAATGACAAATTATTGGTTTTTATTAGTGATAATATCTGTTGTTTCACAAAAAGATCGGTTAAAGTGGTGAAACGAAACGATTCAGAACTATTGGTTCTATTCTGTAACTCCAGGGATGAATACACAATAAAACTACTGATAAATAAATTTCAAAAATACATAGACAGCTTTTGTAAATCAGCCCTCTCACTGAATATTCGTATATACATGTACATTTGAAAACGAACGAGGCAGTAAAGTGCCTACAATAAATGCTGAAAATAGACCTAACCTTTCAATAAGTCGTAGGACGTCCTTGAAGAGTTCTCTAGTCCCTTACAAACTAAATTATAGTCGGCATTGAGTATTAACTAGGTTCGATCACATTTTCTGTATTTTGTATCGCCATTTTTTTGTGCCAAAGAGAGAGAGAGGAGATCACTTGATGATAAATAAGCAAGCAACGCCACTATAAAATTTGCAACACCAGACTTGTACGTTCCTAGTATTTTAAAAAATATTACTATTTTTTGCTGGTTCGATTTTTTTTTTAGTTAGATTAGTTAGATTCCTTGGTCGGGCAAAGTATTACTGGGGTTTAACTCGTCGAGTACCGGTTTTGCAGACACAATTATAGAACAATAGGTTGCGGTCACCGGTGACCGCTTGGTATTTGACAGTTTAAAAAAAAATTTGTGCAATGTACCACTCACTTTTCACTATTTTTTGTTATGAGTCCCATGTAATAGGGGGTGAGCTTATTGCCATATACCAGGCACATTTTCAGACTCCGTGCTACTACTGAGATATTTTGAAAAAACCCAGTAATACTTTGCCAGACGCGGCAATCGACCCCGAGACCCCTTGCCGTCAACAGGCAGCAATAGAAGCATTTATTACTTGGAAAATAGTTATATATCCACATACAAAATTCGTTAACATACCAGTACCTTTAGCCAAACGCCACTTTAGCGCTTGTCTACCGAGAGAGTAAAAAACTAAATGTATGGGGATGACACTGATAAGTGTCAAAATTTACGTCAATTCCATGTAATATGGTTTTCTATACTACATGTAGACAAGCGCTAAATGGCATTTGGATACAGCTGCAGATAAGACGCCAAAAAATAAATGCAAAAAAGTACATAAAAAAGTCAAAGTCAATTACGTATCCATGAAAGCCGAGGCGAGTTTAAATCAGTAAATTAAATTGAATTCAGCTTCCAACGCTGCTCTTACAGGAGCGAAGTGAAATTATTTCACATTGAACGTGTAAAATTGTTGGCATTATTAATATAATCAGTGCAGGGAACGCTTTCATATTTATCGTTATGAAAAGTGGTGTTATTTTAAGTGGACGTGACATTCCATTCGATGTTTTGTAGGAATGGTGTTGTTATTTAATATTTAAAGGTCTTGTGGTCCATTGATCTTCTTCTTTTTTGTTGGAAAGCACGACAGGTGAAATTCTCACGTAAGATTATTTTGAAATTCATTCGGAACTACGAGTTACGTTATATTTAATTGCAAAGAAACTATTTTCATTTTTATATGAAAACATTTTTCAAAATATCCTTATAACATTGTTAATGTCCAACTATAAGTTGTAATATTACGTTAATACATAACATACTTCATTATTAAACTACAAAAAAATACTAAGTGAAAGAATAAGTATTAAAACTTACCAAGGGCCAAGGAAAGCACAAGAAGTGCCGGCGATGTCATTGACCTGCCGGCCGGAGGGGCCGCCCGCCCGCATTCGTGATGACGGTAGCAAAATCATCAATATCACCACTCTAGCAAAGCATTGCTACTCTTATTCACTATCTGTACACTATTCAACACTATTTTGCACAAGTTCACTGACACTTTGACAGTTTATAACACTAATATTTTTTACAGATACTTTTAGTAACACTAATATTTTATAATATAACACTGTTTTTGTAACGTTATTTTGTATTAGTTACTTTTTGGAATCACTATTTCGTGAGAATATTTTTCACCACAGATTTTCCACTTAATTTTCTTAGAGTAGGATCCGAGATATGTTTCTCTAGAATTAATTGTTTCATTAATTTCTGTCTTGAGCTAATTATTTTGCGTCACTTTATAAAATCTTAATTAGAGACACTCGGTGGTAGGTCACCTGAAACAAAGAAAATTGCTGAATTACTGAAGCTCTCACGATGTTTCGTAATTTAGATGTTTTTTCTGGCAGCACTGAATTTACTGCTAATGATAATTAATGGACATTTTTATAGACTTAAATTAAACACTTGAGTGTTTCTAGTGTCTTGTATTTTAGGAAAATGGAATGAAATTGTGACGGTTAGTTTAGAAAACCATACGAAAATGGTTATTCGAATTTTGCATTCGAATATTTTTATTTTAGGTTGATTAAACAAACACGTTCTTTGAGTGTGAGCAGAGGTGTACAACGAACACACATAATATAACGTAATATACAGTTTTCACTAGTTATATGTGACAGCAACATAACATAACATCACACCTTTTTATCTCCGAAAGGGTAGGCAGAGGTGCACATTTCGGCACTTAATGCCACTGTACAATGTAACACCCACTTTTCACTATTTATGTTAAGAATCCCATGTAATAGGGAGTGAGTCTATTGCTATATACCGGGCACAATTCCAGACTCCGTGCTACTATTGAGATATTTAAAAACCCAGTAATACTTTGCCTGACCCGGGAATCGAACCCGAGACCCCTTGCCCGGCAGGCTTGCGACCACTCGGCCAACGAAGCAGTATATGTAACGTGTCCTACAATACCACGAAAAGGGACCCCTAGTCACAACTGGGCACAATTCCAGACTCCATGCTAGTAATGAACATTTTTGGTTAAGTGTTGTTAAAATTGGTAATGCGTTAAATGGTCGCTAGTGTGACCACTTAAAGACCTTAGATCAGAAGGCAGATTGCATCGTAGGATCTTAAAAAGGAGCCGCGGAGGACTTAACTGGTTGCCGGGTCTCTGCTCCGGCTCGAAGTGCAAAAGTAGGAACGGAAAGGTTTTTAGTCAGTCTGATACTCTCTCCCGCCTCACCCAGGCGGGAGAAGTCATTCCATGATTTTCCCCGCTTAAAAAAGTATCGTAAAAACAGCTGTCTTCTTACTTCAGACTATTTCTACTTCTAACTGGGTACCTCACTAGAAAAAACATATAAAACAACTATATAGACGTTATAAATATTGCTACGTCCATCCCATACAAAATAAGAAATAAATAATCTACTTACAGCCAGCCAGAGCCGAGCCAATTAACCAATACTTGTGTAATAAGATTACGTAATAACTTTTATAAGTGTGCCCTCTACCAGAAATATGAAGTTGCCTAATTTATTTATGAGTTGCCCGGAACTAGGGGCAAAATGGGCAAACAGGGGAACGTTGGTATAACTTTGTTTTTATAAGAATCGAATGGACACGTAAAGGTAGAAATACATTTCAGTAGCATGGCGTGTCGTGGTACCGTGGCCATCAATTAACTGCAAGCATTTGGCGACCGACAATACGACACGACATGTAAAAGTGTGTCGTAGTAAATGTCTGAAACTGATACATTTCCACGGTAATGTAATTCAGCCTTTATATATTAGTGAATTTTATTTCTAGAGGTACGTAATTATGGATTGTGGTAATTTTGATGATGTTTTTTATGAAAACCTTCACTCACAGAAGACCGATGTGAAACAACGCTTGCATTGTGTTTCGTCGTATGAGTGAGGTTACCGGAGGCCCAATTATCCGCTTTCCCAGTCTCCCCAATCCCTGAACAAACAATCCTCAAATTTCTAATCCCTAAGAGGCCGGTACAGCATTTGTAACGCCGCCTGTGTTCCAGGTTTCCATGGGCGACGTCGATTGCTCAACATCAGGTGATTCGCCGCTCGTTTACCGACTTGAGAAAAACTTATTATTGACCAAAACATGAAGTAAGTTGCCTGATTTATTGATGAGTTGCCCAGAACTAGGGGCAAACATGTTAGTGCAACTTTGTTTTTATGGGAATCGAATGGTCATCTATTTTTGGATGTTTGTTTGTGATATTGGTCATTTTTGATGGCTCTTCTCATGAAAAACTTGAATTAATATTGACTGCCTCGTTGGCCGAGTGGTCGCAAGTGCGACTGCCGGGCAAGAGGTCTTGAGTTCGATTCACAGGTCGGGCAAAGCAATACTGTTTTTTTTTAAAGTACCTGTGCCTTCCTCTTTGGGGATGAAAGGCGTGAAGTTATGTTATGCTTGGTTTAGGCAGCTTGGCTATCGGTTGCTGTTTAATCTGTTGTATGTTTCCTGATTCTTGCTAAGTTATTCTGTAACTGTGAATTCGACATATTTATGGAACTCGATTTCAATTAAATGCCATTGATTTCAGTATATTCTCAACCTGTGGTGGGTGAGAATGCAATTAAGCTCACTTTGAAATAAATCGAAAGATCAAATTGACAGTTGTAGAATAACCTAGCCGAACGGAAAAAAAATTGTGTGATTCAGCTACTGTGCAACGTGTCGTGGGTTCGATTCATGTACGAATTCTGATTATGATACGTTTGTAGAGTATGTTTGTAAACGACTTCACAAATACTATGACACTATAGAATATCCTTGTAAAGAGCCATATAAAAAAAATCTAATAATTAAAAGTTTCCTCAGCCCGGGAATCGAACTCAGCATCTTGACTCGACGCTTATAATCCCAATCCAACATACCATAATTTAAAATCCACCTAACAACGCCACTAAATTCATATATCGTGCAAAATATTCTCATATATAAAACAATACAGCTATATCTTCAAGCGTAATGGCCACTTCACACTAGGGCGTAACGTGCGAGTGTCAGAAGTACCACGTGAGGACTACAAAAAACCAGTACAACTTGACCTTCAAATGCGTAGAAGAATCTTACAAAACAAGACCATGATAATTCGGATTTGTATCCACCTATGACCATCCAGTATAAACTGACCTCTGAATGTACGGAAGGCTCATAGAACGTGAGATCATGATAAAATGGTTGATATACACATCAAGCTATGACTATCCAGTATAAACTGACCGCCAAATGCGTGAAAGTATCATAGAATGGAAGATCATGATAAACTGGTTGTTAATACACATCAAGCTATGAAACACCAGTATAACTTGACCGTCGAATCTGTGCAAGGATCTTATACCGTGAGACCATTATACACTGGATTTGTAGAGTTTCATGTGTTTTTGTGTGTGAGTTGAGTACTGGAGGGAACGATTTAAAAGGAAACGGCTAGTGTGTATGAGGCTTTATACTTTAAAGTGTGCGTCTATGTATGTAGGTACGATGGTTCTTATCTGTGTTTGTTAATCTATTGTTGTTGTTTTTTTTATGGCATAAGCCGGTAAACGAGCAGACGGATCACCTGATGGCAAGCAATCGGCGTCGCCCATGGACACTTGAGGCGTTACAAGTGCGTTATCGGCCTTTTGGGGATTAGGAATTTGAGGATTGTTGGGGATTCGGGGAGATTGGGGGTATTTAGCCGACTACCAGTAAAAATCCTAATCTTTTTATTCCTTGAAAGTACATTTATACATTTTTTAAATAATCATGATACATAAGTTCCTAATAATTGTATTATAATAAAAGATGTCAGAATATTTACATGACTAATGTCGGAATACTGAAACGCTACTCAATTACCCATTGAAATCCATTCCCTAAATTTGGTCATACAAAAGTAGTCTCTAAACATTAGAAATAAGGTCTATAATGTAATGTAATATTAGTGGAAAGCGGTCACCGGTGACCGCTTAGGGATTTATGGGTTAAGTCGTGCTTAAGTATATAGTTATGTCTCTATAAATTCTTAGTAAAATGACAGAGATGGCACGATACTTGAGCACGACTTAAAATTAAGTAACGTTTCAGTATTCCGACATAACTCGTATAATTTAGTTAATTTTAATTAATAAAAGAAAAGTCATAAATGACATAAATCCATACTTCGGGTTATACTTAATTGAAAATTTACCAAAAATACATTGACCGACCCGGGAATCGAATCCTACTCCTCATGCTCGGTAATAACACTTGCACCACCACTCAAATAACAAACCAGTTTCTCTGTAAAACTTAAAAACAAAATCTCAATTACAGTTCTTTATTTGCATAAATTTTATGGTCAAATAAACAATGTTAGAGGTCTGAATGAATAGATTTCAACTGAAAAGATCGGAGAACAAAATAATGGAGTTAATTTAATTTGTATTGCTATGAACAATCGTTCTTTTAATCGACGAGTATTTTATTCAGACTCCAAAGGTACTCGAAGATTTCTATTGAAATTGAATTGAAATTTTATTAGCGATAGGAACTTAGTTCGTTGGACAACTTGTAAGGACAAGATGGTTTTAATAAAAAAAATGGATTTATATTTGGTTTTATGGGATAAGTTGGTGAACGAGGTGACTGATCACCTGATGGTACGCAATCGGCGCCGCCCATAGACACCAGAGGCGCTACAAGTACGCTACCGGCCTTTTGGAAATTGGGAATTTGAGGATTTTTGGGGATTCAGGGATTAGGGAGATTGGAGAAGAGGGGAGGGGTAATTGGGCTTCCGGTAACCTCACTCACACCACGAAACACAACGCAAGCGTTGCTTCACGCCGGTTTTCTGCTCGGCCGTGGTATCACTCCGGTCGAGCCGGCCCTTTCGTGCCGAAGCATGGCTCTCCCACACTTTAATAAAAAAGATAGGCTTTTGATGTGTTTTTGAACTTTGTTCTGTGTCAGTTCATGATCTTTTAGGTTTATGATGATGAGAGGAGCAAAGAAGTAGATGGATCATATGTGGATCATATGTAGGTAATCAAGTAACATCCATGGACACCTGCAAAACCAGAGAATGTCATGAGTCATGAGTTCCTTGTGCGAAGCAATAGTATTCCTTGCCGCAATCTGGTTCCCGATGAATATAACTTTGGTGTCTTGAAGTGCAGAGTGAACAGGTTGCTCATAGGTAGGAGTGCTTCATCGTCAGCCACATCATCGCTTACCACCAGGCGAGATATTTCATCCTAATAAAAAAGTGTGTAGTGAGGGTGCGATATCGAGGATGAAGAAAAGGAAATTTTATTTA